GTTTTTGTACTAATTAGTGCTTGTCCCTGTAATAATCTTTATTATGTATGTCTTTTTACTATGCATTGACTCTTTTCTTAAATTTTTGTATAACTTTTGATTATTTATATTATTTTGTACTACATATTTTGGTTTCAATAAACTTTCCTCCTTTTCCTTTGTGCTGCTCTGTGTTCATGCTTAATATGGTGTGAAATAAAAAAATCAGCAACTAGATAACTAAAGAAGAATAGATAAGAAAATTAGAAAGTGAATATAGTATGTCAATAAAATTTTTTGAAAAAATCACATAGTGGTCAATAAGTGTGTGAGAAGGTATTCAATAACACTGTCAAGAAATTCAAATCAAAAGCACAGGGAAATATCATCTCACATCAATTGAAATATGTATTATCAAAAAGACAAAAATATTATTAGTGAGACTGTAGATAAAGACCTTCTACAGAGTTGGAATAAACCTAAATTAGTGTAGTTGTTGCAGAAGATAGCATGGAGGGTCCCCTCAAAATTAAAAGCAGAACTACATTGCTGGACAGCAGAAAAACATATTAATGGCATAAGCATACAATACATTGTTTAACTGTATTTTCCATAACAGCTTTGGAAGGAAGAGAAGTTAGACTGAGCTTTCAGATGGTTCTGTATTCTAAGGATACAGCATTACAGTTAGTTTCACTTGATACACATATGCAAGTTGATTTTATGTGGGAAATGGACTACGTTAAGTAGTGCTTTAGTCTAAATTCACAGAGACAACAGGCACATGAGGAAACATGGTCACGAGATGCAGTCCCAAACTTTTATCATCACAAAAGCTGACCTCACATGCACTGGAGCAAATAAATAACAGCAAAACACTGACAACCAGATGGTTCCAATGTTTGAACATATCAAAGAAAAAACAAGCATATTCATAAGATGTCTAGTGAGATTAAGAAATGGGTAATTAAGCAGATAGAGATATTAAATAATCAAATATTTTAATATTTTATTAAATAATCAAATATTAATATGAAGTAATAAAATACTCTAATATGTAATAAAATATTAATATTAAGTAATAAAATATTCTAATAATTTATTAGGTAATACAATATTAAGTAATAAAATATTCCAATATTTTATTATGTCAAGTTACCAATGATGAAAAGACAAAGTAGGAATCCAGAATATAAAAAATTCATTTGAAAATATGGGTAAAAGAAACAACCAATCTGCCTGTGTGTTACAGTGCACCCCAGTAATACCAGCATTTAGAAGGCTGGTGTCTGAGGATTACCATGAGTCCAAGGTCAGTATATCAACAAAAGAGTTATGATCAGCTTCACCTAAATAGCAAGATATTTTCTAAAGAAAATAAGAAGATACAACTAATGTGATTAGATTATCAGATACTAAGTTGGAGATAATAAATCACTCTTGACACTTATTTTACTCAATAATAGCCTAAAAACAAGAAAACATGACAACTGGATTCAGCAGCAGCTAGATGGCAAGGAAAGAATTATTGTAGTAAAGAAAAGATTACAAGGGAATCAAAAGTTATAAGAAAATCATTCACTGAAATTATAGCAAGAATTTCCAAATTTAGAGGAAACACTCATTTTTTTAAACTGATAAAACTCTAAATATCATGACTAGAAAAGAGCACTAGGACATGACATTTTACAAATTGTAGAAATTCAGCACAAAAGAAAAAAAAAGTGAAAAAAACTGTCAGAGCAAAGAAATAATTTAAAACACAAGTCTATTGGAAAAATGGGAAAGTTCTCACCACAATCCTCAATGGCCAGAAGAGCATGGAGTCACACTTTTCAGTTAAAACAAAAGTGGTGAACAAATCTTTTATAATCTAATCGCTGGAGAAATAAAAGCTTTCCACTCCAAAGAAATCCTAAAAGAATTCATAAGCAGAAATCCCAAATTGCAGAAAGTGTATTAAAAACACCTAAACAGAACAAGGAAGTCTACCAGTACCAAAGAGCCAAAAAATGTGATAAATTTAATTTGGAGAGGAGCTAAAAATTTTAAAAATAAAAAATTAAAAAAAAAAAAAACATCAGCACTGGAAAAAATATTTCAATGACAAGTTTCAGCACAAACCTTAAAATAGTAGCTATGTTAGTGGACATAATTCCACAATAAAAAGGGCTGTAAGTTTGGATTAAGGAAACAAGACCCACCCATATATTATCTACAGAAGATGCAATTCATCATAAAGGAAGCATATAGGCTGAAAACGAAAGTACAGGATGTAACATACCATGGAACTGAGTTGAAATAAAAGCAGATTCTTCTATGCTGTTTTCTGAAAAAGTACAATTCAAGTCAAAGTTGATTAGAGGAGAAAAAAGTCATTACACATCAGTGTAAGAGAACAGTTCAACAAGATGATGAAGGTACAGTAACAGTAATGAGCCCACTTCTAACACATTTCACTGTATAAATTGACTTTCTTTTTCTTCAAGCAAAATACATCGACAGTTTTTTTTCTTTTTTTTTTATTTAAGAGGAAAAAGAGAAAAACACAAAACAAACCAAAGCGGTGTAAGGGTACACGTAATACAGAACTACAAACAAAAACAAAACAACAACAACAACAAAAAATAACAGTAAGAAATCACCTGTTAGTAGATTAATGTGGAAAACATTAATTGGTTCATGATTTTAGATTTAATTTATGGTCTTTTGCCTCCCAAGAAGAGATTCCATGACAGAAGGTTACAGCAGAGGAAATTTGTTCATCCCATGCATGTGAGAAGCAGAGAGGAGCAGCAAGAATGCAAGACTACACCACTCAGCATGCTATGGCCAGGGACTTGTCCACTCTCGACCAACACCCACGTACAAGCACAGGAGAAATGTGAAAACATTTTTAATCAAAAACATAATAGAAGTTTTCTGGTGATATTATCGATGTTCATCAAATTTGACTAAAGTAATCAGGTTTATCTGATGGGACATTCTTTTAGTTAGAAGCAAGGAGTCTTCAAAAGAAACCAGTTAAATACATGACTCAAGAGTATGGCTCATACTTGTGAGAATTTTCAATCACTAGCTTTTTTCCAAAAATTACATTTTAGTTTGTTTCATATTATATACATGCTTTATTTTCCAGGTATGTATATAGTATAGTAAATCTTCAAAATAAAGTATTTTATTATTTCATCTTAATTTTCTGGAAAAAATCCATGTAAATAATTTGTGGTATTAAGATTTTGTTTATTGGTATCTGAAAATAATGGCGTTAGCTTAATTTCTACTAATTAGTCTATTTTCCCCCTTAGTTATACACACAGTGTTAGGGTTTAGGGCTAAATGACTCCACACCTCAGTGTTCAGAAGTGGAGCTTGTAGAAGGCGATGAGGTCATGGGTAAACTGAACTCATTAATGGAATTCAGAGTTAAATGTGCTTTTAGGAAGTGGGCTTTGCTGGAAGTCTTGGGAACCTGAGGTCTGACCTGGAAAGGTGTTATCTCCTGCATGGGCTCTTCCATTTGCTATTTCCTGAATGCAGTGATGCGATGTGAGCTTTCCTCTGTTCAGGCCCTTCAACTGTGCTGCTTCTGCCTTTTATCTTACCATTCTATAGCTGCGAATTAGAAAACTGATTGCACATCCAAAATGTCAGACATAGATAGGTATGTGATTGCAGACTTTTCAGGGGAAGCAAGAACAAGAAATTTTATTGATCACATTTTTTACTATACTAGACATAGATACTAGTTCACTTAAAAGATAACTCCCAGATAAGTTGTCAAAAAGATGTGTTAGATGAGGTTACAGTCTGATAAAACCATATGTTCTGGTGTCATTCTTCTATGACAGGCTCAAAGCCTCCAAATATAAAATGATGACAAGGAGTTGGAATCATTAATTTCACTGATTAGATCCATGCATACTGTATATTTATATGAAAATATCATGTTGTATCTCATACCTTTTTTACCCATTAATGTATGTATGCTTTTTATCCATTAATCAAATTTTAAAAGGTCTCAAAAGATAAAAGCATTAGCCACAATAATTTGATTAGTACACATTTTATAACACTATAGGATGAGTATACTAAAGTATACATAATTAGAATAATAATTAAAATATGTGCAATTTAAAAATAAATAGCTAAGAATGAATGCAACAAGAACTGTCAATATTTTTGACAACTATGTACTATCATATTCTGTATTGTGTATTTGTAGTTTCTGGATTAAGGATTGTGCTACCTTGGTATATGAAAGGCAGAGGCTGGTCCCTATTAGAATAACACTAATACTTAAGAATGTAATAAAGAACATAATGAAAATAGTAGAGTCATTCTCAGATATTTTCCATTATAGAGGAAGACTAAAGGATCACATTGATCTGTGTGAAAACATGACACAAAACAAAGCTTCTTCCCCTGAGGGACTTAAAGATTTACAACTGGAAAGAAAAATAACATTTAGTTGTATTTCCCATATGTCTCTTAGTCATCTACTGCATTTTCATGCATTTTATTTCTCATGGTTTTATTAAAAATGATGTGATATTCCTCTTCAAGCATAATAAGCTAAAAAATACAAATAAAACTATGGGAAATTTTTTGCATAACACATTTATATATTTCATAACTCAATATGATCTGTAATATTTTTAAGCTGTGATAGAAGCCGGATATTACCCATTATTTTTTCTGTATTATTTTCAATTTATCTTGAACATTGTTAATTCTAAAAAAGAGTGGATTTTATTATATATTAATGGTGAATAAAGTTACCTTAAGAAAATACATATATAATGTTAATAGTGGCAAACAACTATAATCTTGACCTAATTTTTTGTACTGAAACAGCCTTTCAAAATGTTCTTATAGTCTTACAATGTATGTTACCAAATAGTTGCCATTATGTAGTGATTAAACTTGACATAAAATAGTGTAATGAAATAACCATGTGTGTCTTCTTTGGAATTAGCAACTCTCTTCATGCAACACAAGTGTTATGCTACTTTGTCACTTCATTTCCCTTTTCCAGTCCAAAGTTTCTTCATGACATTTTTCATCTCTGCATTTCTCAGAGTATAGATGAGGGGATTCAGCAAAGGTGTTATGACAGTGTAAAATACAGCCAGGGATTTATCGATTGGAAAGGTAGAGGGAGGTCTCACATACAGAAATATGCAAGGAACAAAGAAGAAAACTACCACTGTGATGTGGGAGCCACAGGTGGATAAGGCCTTGCGCCTCCCTTCCTGACTCAGGTTCTTCAGGGAGTGCAGAATGACCATATAGGAGATGATCAAGAGGGAAAAGATGACCACACAGATGACACCATCATTGGCCACCACTGTGAGCCCAATAATGTAAGTGTCAGTGCAGGCAAGTTTTAATAAGGGGTACATGTCACAGATGAAGTGGTCAATCACATTTGGTCCACAGAAGGGAAGGCTGTAAACAGAAAGGATGTGCAGTATAGCATGCACAAAACCACCAACTAAGGCAAACACCAAAAAGAGAACACACACCCCTTTGCTCATGATGGTCAGATAATGCAGTGGTTTGCAGATGGCCACATAGCGGTCATAAGCCATGGCCACCAGTAGCAAAATCTCTGCACCACCAAACAAGTGCTCTAAAAAAAGTTGCGTCATACAAGCTTTGAAGGATATGGTTTTATTCACATGGAGTAAGTCAATCATCATATTTGGGGTAACTGTGTTAGAATAAACAGCATCCATAAGTGATAAATAACCAAGAAAGAAGTACATGGGTGCATCCAAGGCGGGGCTGAGCACCACAGTCACAACAATGAGTAGGTTGCCTGCCATTGTCACCATGTAGATCAGCAAGAAAACAGCAAACAATATTTTCTGACCCTGGGGGCTCTGAGTGAGCCCCAACAGCACAAACTCAGTCACATTGTTCCTTTGTTCCATATGTCCTTCAGTGTGTCCCTGTGTCATTGCTCGGAAGAAAATTTTCTACAAACAGAATTATTACTAGTAAGTCCATGAAATTTCAAGATAAACTATTGTTCATCCCATGAATAACCATTATGATTAATTATGATTAATTATATTCTATTACTGAACAGGTTTATGATGTAAATTTGAAACACATCTGTAAGTTTAGTGATTTTATAGGCTAATGTCAACAGACATAAGTAATGAGAGACATTCCAAACAATAACTTTCATATAAGAGAAATGAATCTCCCAACTAGGTTGTCATCTGGTTTTTAGTAATATAACGTAGAAAGACACTTCCAAAATTAAAATAAAAGTATCTTGAATATTTATTGTAAAATGACAGAAAATTAACTTTATATGTACCACATGGTGACCAAATAGAAGTGATATTATGCTCGTGAGTAGAGAAGAAATTTTTCAACTAGTATGAGGAATCTCTTATTAGTTAAAATTTAACATATTAGATAATTTTGAACTAATTCATCAATGTAGGAAACTTTCATAAATAACTGCATGAAATTAATATTGATAAAAAGTTTGTTTAGAGAACATAAGCAGAGATACCACTTGAAATAGATCACAAACTTTAAAGAGTTATTTTAAAAACCATAAGGCATTAACAAAGTGGACAGAGGATATAATCAAGCAGCTTTAAAAGTTGAGCCAGTGATCAAAAAGACATGGTAAAATTCATTAGCAAACAGACTAAATGAAATGAAATGTCATGTTATAAATGAAAATGATATGTTATAAATATCATACTTTAAAGTTATGAAGCTTTAAAATAGTTAAAAAGAAAAATGTTTTCTTGAAGTTGAATTTTATACTTTTTGCAATAAAATTTCTCAGTATCTATGGAAATTAAAACTGCATATATCTTTCATCATAGCAACTATACACTGTATCAAAGATATGGCAGGAAAATTAATTCTCTAGCAATTAAGAAAAGCTGCACACTGTGGCTTTGCAGCAATATTTTGATGGTATTAAATAAAATGATAAAAATATGAAAATTAATTCTAAAACAAGATATGGACAGATAGAATATAAAATTTGTTAACTAGAAAAGTCATTTAAATACGTACAGTTAAGTAAGTACTCAAGGGAAAATTTCCAAAAGTTAATTTGTAATAAGAAAAAAATAATCCTATAAGTACATATAACATGGTAATATTATAAGCAAATATAAAGGACTGTATATACGCAATTGTTAATGTTTGTGTGTGAGTCTACGGGCATTGGAACAATTATAGCATACATGATTGACTAAAGCACCATCTACATCTGTGTGTTGGTACAGTTAAATGTAAGGGTGATATGTGAAACATTAAAAAAACAAGATGATGGACCTAAGTTGATGAGGCTGATGGGAAGAGAAAGTGAAGGAGAGGAAAGAGAGAACAGAGAAAAGAGGAGGAGATGAGGCAAGTCAAACAAATGATACCTTAATAAAATTCATATTCACTGGTTCAGTATCAAAAGAAAATAGTCATAGAAGTAACAGTTATGCTTTAAATATTTATTGACATATTGTTATATCTCACTGCACAAATTCTGCCCCTTTTCTTTACACAAACATGGATTATCTGTTTTTAGTTTTGTCCCGTATCTCTGATCATGCATCATATTTGAACCTTTTTAAGGACCCTGCTTTTACAACTTCCCCCATAATTTCCTACATCATTAGTTTTCCTGCTTATCCAGTATTAGTTTTGTGGTCTGATTAATGCAGCATATCTACATGTTGGATGAAGTTTATCCTTTGATCCACGTCTTTTTCAAGGAAGATATTACCTCGAGTCTCAGCTCTTCTTAGAAAAATTTCTTCCTTTATGAAACCCAAAGATCAGTTTCCATCATACCCTTACTTGGTCAACCATTCCTAAGAATTTATATAAAAGTTTGTTTGCATAACTGTTACAATCTGTACTCTTCAGTAACTCATTTGACACTGGCAGATGCAACATCATCTTTTAATTTTTAATATTTTAAACAATATTTGCAGGATAATTCTCTTGATTCTGTTAAGAAATGTGTAGATACCTACATACAAAGTATTTTCCAAATACACTCAAAATTATTTGACAGGGACACTAATGTTAGAAAAGACTCATTTACTATTAAGTTTTATAATGGTAAGGCATCCAAGGAAGTGTTAAGATTGGAAAAAAAAACTGTATGCATATTTTAGGAGTGATAAAATTACAATGTAATTTTGTGTCAGAATCATACAGAAATTTTAAAAGATTATGAGTTGTGCTGTGATAAATCTACTTGCATAATGTAAACCGTAATTCAGAATATGACACATAAGTATTTCTCCTGAGTTACCTGCATATAAGCAGACAGTCCTTCATTCAAGGTTCTGGGTTGGTGATTTTTCCCAGTGACAACCACTTCACACACTGATGCTGTCTCTGGAACACAGAACAAAATGCCACACGCTGCACGTTGAAACATTTCCATGGACCAATCCTGCAATACTTGCTGGAAAGATAATTTGGATTATTTATAGAAAAATGTTACTTTCTTAAATTGTTTTGGTTTCTAAAGTTAACACTATGAATGTCATATGAACACAAGATAACTGATACTTAATTGTAAAAAAGAAATACTCAAAATTCAGTTTGGCAATATTTTCTTAAGAAGAAATATTAAGTGGCATTTTAACATTTAACAGGTAAATTTATCAGAAAAAGGAATCAAGCCTTACTAAGACACATATTTGCAATTGGAATTTTTTAAAATGAGAGAGGAATAATCAAATAGCTTTTAACATTTTGAATACCTGTCAGATATACTACTTGCTTTCATACGTGAAATTTGGCTTTGGGAAGTGTGAAGAATGGAGAAAAATCTATGATCCCCATTTCATCATGCTGTCAGTCTATCATTTTGATGTCTAAGAGCAGTCAAGTGAACGCTTGTAGTGCCAAACACTCCCAGAGGGGAAGAAAGAAGTCTAAAGGCACTTTATGTATGTTGTGACCACAGCACCTAAGGTTGAATGCTTCCTGTGCTACATATCCAAGAATGACTTATTCCTTAATTAAACTCACTGGCACCTTGGTGCTGACTCTGAGGGTAAGCTGTGCATCCCCAGAGATGTCAGAGAATAACAGCAATCTAGAACATGATTTCCAGAGACATATTCTCTGGGGAAATAGCATCATGAACAACTAGAGGTCACATCACAAAAGGAAACAATCCAGGCTGAGCAGAAACAAAATAAAAAAAAATCTAATTAAAAATAGTGACATGTGGTCTTAAAAAAGGGAAATAAGAGAGATGTATATGATCAAAATGTATTTCTGTTATATGCATATTTGTAGATAGCATGTTGAATTCCAGAATTTTATACAAGTAATAGGAACTAATACAAAGTACTTTTTTCAAAACTCATGCACCACAATACAGGCAAATCTGAGGATTATAGAGCCTAACAATTCTGTGTTGACATCTGAACTCACAAACAGCGATGAAGGAAACCAATTTCTGAAGAAGTCATTGAAAACTAGAGCCCAATACACATAAAGCCTTGTTCAGCTGTAAGAGAGGGTCTATGTATCACAGTTTCAAACAACCCAAGCATTTGGATGTGTATTGGAACAGGAACTGGAAAAGAGAAATCAGACGTAGGGCTGTTCTACATTTTTGCAAGTATTCATGAAATATTCACCAAAATATACAACATAGAGATCATGACACATATTACTGTGTATCTCAAGGATTTAAATCATATGGTTTCCATCTATGATAATAAGAAATTCAACTAAAAATGGAGACAAAATATCTAACATAATGTTCCTCAAGCATTTCAAATTGAGTAATCTGTGTGAATGTAAAATATGATGATCTTCCTAACTTGTTGAATTGTATTTTATTAGAAAAACAATTACAAAGAAATGCTAAATTCCATGGAAAATAAGTCATTTTAGCATCACCATGTGTATCATTTTCTTTTCTTTAAATTTTAAGATTATTTCCAATTATGCTAAAAATAAAGTATTATTCTTCTTCAAGAATAACATGTGAAGCAATATTACAAAAATGTATATGTAAATCTTACAAAACAAAATAATAAGGTTGACATTTTACATATGTATGTGATCTACTATGACTTGCTGAAATTCTGAAATAAGTGCAATTTATGTATAATTGTATTTTTACCAAATGTTTGTAGGCATTAGCTATTTTTTATGCTTTTGAAATTTATCAGCACAAGTGCTTACATTCCTCGAGTGGAGTTGGTGGGTGAACAGAACATGTCTTCACTTTTTTTTTCATCCTTTCTCCACATCACTGCCTCCATGTCTTGATCCCCTCTCTGTTTGAGAATCATCTGTCTCCAATCTTCCTATCATTTATCTTCTATTTTAATTTTTAGTCATATTTTGGTTTTCAGATATAATTCTGAAAACGACTTTTTGTAAAAATCATCAATAAAATCTCATTAAGTAAATAAGTGTTAGCTTTAATTTTGGCATACAAGTTGACACACCTGAAACATTTCAAGAAAAAAAATATCTATTTTCTTAACAAGTTCTAACAATCATAAAAATACATGTATATTATTGTAAGAATACACATTGCATGTATTTTCTACTGTTCAGTTATTAAACCTCAAGGAAACTTCAACACACTGAAATAATCACACATGACTTTCCTGGATGAAGCAACTCTTCACTGAACATAAATGAGAAAAGCTCAATTTTGTTTGCTAGTCCTGCATGCAGAAAACTCCAGCTCAGGTCAGTGGCAGCAGCAGAGCACACAGCTGTGGGTTCATGATAGTGCAGGGATTTGAAGATAACCATGTAGACGTCATAGGCCATGACCACCAGGAGCGTTACATCAACACAGCCAAATAAGTCACTTACAAAAAGCTGTTTATTCAATCTTTCAGGGAAGTGGTTCTCTTGTCATAGAGTAAGTCTTTAACCATATTTGAGGTAACTGTAATGGCATTCA